ACTGTGAGTCTCTAGGTATCATAATTAATTATAAGTTTAATTTAGTCCACAAAAATATATTTAAATTAATATCTCGTGAAGTGTGAAACTAATATGATCGCAAGTTTTTCAGCTCAAAACGGCCAAAAAACAGCAAAACACGAACAAAAATTTCCAAAAGTGTCTCTAATTACCCCCCCGTACTCTATGTGACATGAAACATTCACAAAACAATTCTAAAATTGATCTAGCATAAAGTTCTAAAAAACAGTCCGTTAACTGGCTGTTAACGGCCAGTTAATGGCGCACTTCTGTGTGAATACTAAATCCCAGGTCGACCAAAACGGATATCCGTTACGGACCGTCTAATGGACGCAGGAATACGGACCGTACCATCATTAAAATAGGGCCGTATACGATCGTATTTTCACAGTATACGACCCCGTATTACTGTGCCCAGAAACGGTACCGTTTACGGGCCGTATATTGTGAAAATACGGCCGTATACGGCCCTATTTTAATGATGTTACGGTCCGTGTTCCTGCGTCCAGTAGACCGTCCGTATATGGACCGTATCGTTCGACCTGGGATAGTCTGGAAACGTTCAGCAAACAGTCAGTAAACGGTGACCATTAACTGACCGTTTTCTGACCATGGACGTTTTCAGACGATCTTTGGACCGTGAAACGGTCACACTAAAAACGGCAAGTTAACAACTTGTTTACTGGGTGTTCTTTTGCCGTTTTCATAACGTTAACGCGCCGTTTTTTGTGTGACCGTTCACTGGAGATTAACTGACCGTTAACAGGCCGTTTTTTTGGACCTGGGCATGGTCAACGAGACGGACCAATGATGAATAACAACAAACTCTCTTTGTAAGGAAGGCGTGTTATTTTTTCTGGTCAAGATATGCTACTGAGTAAATTTCTATTGAACACTTCCCTCGGTCGGCGCTCGCACAGCCATCTCTCGAGTTCAGAGTTGCCATGCTTCACTATTCTCTCGCTAAACTTTCCCCTTTAACTTTGCAGACCTTCTTTGTGGAAGTCTTGGATATTTTTTCATTTTTAAGTAAAAAAGAGTCTGTGGTGAAAGAACTATTTAATTTGGTCGAAAAGTGAGTGAGTGAGTTATGAGCGATTGAGTGAGCACAAGAACGTTTCGACAAAATATTTGTCATTATCAAGAAAAACATGTGGTAACAGTGATATTAACGTAAGGAAAATTGGATATAAGAACTCTATGCACTACAGTATATATATATATATGCCAGACAATGCTTGCGAAACATCTAGATAGTAAAGATACAAGTACAACCAGGGATTTATTGCCCCTAAATCGTAAAAATGTTTCGAAATATCTATGGCAGCATTATGGGCGAACTATAATGAAATGCTTTTGGGATCTGGTCGGGTTGCAACAGATATTATGTAAGTTAAAATTGGATCTAAGATTTCTTAGGACATGTAAGAATGAGAATTTAATCCCAAAATTTATACAATTTTCCCTGGTTGTACTTGTATCTTTACTATCTAGATGTTTCGCAAGCATTGTCTGGCATATATATATATATACTGTAGTGCATAGAGTTCTTATATCCAATTTTCCTCACGTTAATATCACTGTTACCACATGTTTTTCTTGATAATGACAAATATTTTATCGAAATAAATAAAAAACTTTTTTGATAAATAAAATGCGATTTAAATTAGCTGCTGTATTAATACCTGCAATTCTAAATTTATTGCCCCAAAATCGTAGAAATGTTTAGAACTCCCAACTCACTGAAACCGGTTCCAACAGATCGTCCATGATCGGTTCTCTATCTGGGAATACTTTTTCTCTGATTCTATTAATTTTTATAACGAAACGTTTTCTTATCATAATTTTTTCGTTGCAGTTTATATTACATCGTAAAGTGGCGCTCTCTACTGAATCTATAATTAATGAATCTCCTGGTCACTAAATTCTAGTGAACTCTGTATATTTAATCATCATTACTGACTTTGTATTACACTGTCCCGGAAAAGCATACTTTTAGAAAAAGCACACTTAAATTGTGCCAATGAGATGGGAAAAGTGTATCAAAAGTATGCTTTTTATGTGCTGCTAGCATGTTTTTACCGTGCCACTGACACATTTCTAGTGTGCTTTTGGCCTGCTAAAAGTGTATCATCGGCACACTTTAAGTGCGCTGAAAGCATACTAAATGACACACTTAAAGCACTATGCTACACTAAAGGCAAGGGAATAACAAACGTGATTTAAGTTAGACCTAAATTAAACAACTAATCAAATTAAGAAAAGAAGAGAAAAACCTTGAAATATATAATATAAAGACTTTTTTCTGTGAATCTAATCATCGTCTTACTCCATCGCATTTCACAGAAAGTTGTTTGTGATAAATGTATTAATATCTCTACGACTCTCACAAATTCTTAAGACTGAGACTAAGACTGTTTATTCACGAAAAGTGAGAGTCATCAAAGGTCCCCGACCTGTAATAACAATGACTCAAGCCAAATAACACCGAAAGAGTAATAAAAAAAAGAAATATAAATGCAGGTAAAAAACAGAAAGAAAGAAACTAACACGATTAGCTTAACTGACAAACGTTTCACTGGAAGAGATACTGAAGTAAAGCTGTTTTGAAAGACATTAAAGAAGAAAGACGAATAACTGACTCTGGGAGATTATTCCAATCAGCAATAGTTGAATAAAAAAAAGAAGAATGTATCGTTTGCGGAGAAAAACCATCAACAGAAGGTGGAATGCGAACATATTTAGAGTGATTCTTGTCTTCGCGTGAAGCACGCTCTGCGAAACGTTGTTCTAGCCCACTAATCGACAACATTGTTATTCTCAACAGGCTCCACTCCATTTCAGATGTGAATAAACGATTATTTCTGATGTCAAAAGTACGTAAAAAATTTTACCAACATCGGAATGTAACCAATTATCAGCGGATGCTTTACGTTATCCCACATCTAATTCTCGATCGACAATAAACGCCTTTGATTTAAAACAAATAACAAATAACACTAAAAATCGACGACATACATTTCCCCAAAAACATATCAACGATTCACGGACCAATGACAATAATATTTCACAAGTATCTGTTTCAAATGTGGTTATGTTAGCTGCTAATGATGAGGATGATGATTTTATCATACAAAAACAACGTCCATCACAACAGCCAGTCAAAAGAAAATCAAAAATTTCAACAATAACAATAACAAAACGAAAAACAAAATATTTATTTGAAGATGTTGTACCAGTACAATCGTGGTCATCGTACAATGATAATTTTTGTGATCCATATGGGTTAGTTGGTGGTGCAACAGCAAATAGAAATCAACCAAACTGGTTAAATTTACCAGCTGAAATTTATCAACAAATATTTTCGTATATACCAGTTAAACAATTATTAACTCAAGTTCAGTGTGTTTGTCAAGCATGGAAACAAATTGTGAATGATGAAAATGTAATCCATGAGTCAATTAGGTTTTAAAATTTTAAATACCATTGTTTCGTTTTTTTTAGTTTCTTTGCTGGGCAAAAATATTTTTATGTTATGAACATGAAGAAAAAACAGCATTGACAAAAATTGAACGTCTCTATTCAGTGAATAATGCAAATCATGATAATATCTTGGAAATTATTTTAAAGTAAATTTACCATTTCAACTATTAGTTAATAATTAGCTATTCGAACTCTTCTACTGTAATTTAAGCGAGGGTACAAAGATCAGTGAACCAATAAATGAAGATCCGTGCACAATTCGATTTAAACTCAAACATTTTGTCTTGGAACAATTAAATAAAAAATTGAAAAAACATTCAATGTATGATTATGTTATTGATTTGTTGTCTAAAAACAAAGATAATAAATACGAAATTAAATATTTTACATCAAAAGTAAATTCTATTGATTATATTGTCGAAATTGTCTAAGAGTTGAGTAAAGCATGTATATTTGTCTGTTTAAGTTTTTCAATCCTGTTTGTACAACAATAGCTATATGTATACTAGCTGAAAATGTGCATTCTGTTCGTCAGTTATTACGTTTATGGTTTTGTTCAATGTCAACGACCAATATGAAATATGAAACTATCATTGATTTATTCTATTATTTGTTGACATTATTTACCGGTGCTAGACGTTTGTATGACGTAGTACAATTTCGGTACGTATTAATTACAGTTTCGGTACATATTAGTTTTCATTCGTGTACAGTTTTACTTTTATCTTTTAGATATCCGTACATGTTGTACTATTGTTTGAAAGAAATGGAAGATTCTGTTTTAAATCAGTTTAATTCAATTGGACAATATATATCAAATATGTATCATTCGTTGTCAGATCAAGCAAATATGTGAGAATTTTTAAATGTTAGAAGAACACAACGATTCTACTAGTTTATTTTTATTTATTAAAAGTTTATCAACTCTTCAATTAACGGAACAACAAGAAACAATATTATGTCATGATCTAGAGTACAATGAAACAATTAAAATACATGCCTTTGCAGGTATGAGGTTAGTAAACATCCATGACGTCAAAATCGGTACTAATCGACGATAGTTTTGTGGCTCATTATAGGAATCGCGATTAATCAAAAGTTTCTTGCCGATTTGACGACATGGACAGGTAGTTTACTACTTAAATTTGCCCAATGTTTTGGCTGTTTTATATGACATTGGAATATAGATATTTATATTGTAGGAACGGGTAAAACAACAACGCTTATAGCCTATGCTGCGCGACGTATGGATGAAACTTTTTTGTACATTGCTTATAATAAGTAAGATTTTTCTTCTTTTTCTGTTTCTTATTCCATCGAACTTTTTTGTTCGTTATTTTTTTTAACAATTTAGAGCTATTCAAACTCATGCAGAAACGATATTCCCGAGTAATGTGAAATGTCAAACGATTCATAGTTTAGCTTTCGCCAAATTTGGGTAAACTAATTTATTTATCCATTGATTGTTCATATGCTAAGATTTTTGCGTACTTTAGACGACACTATTGTTTGGGTTCATTACGCATTAAAAGTATTGTAGACATAATTCATAATCTAAAACTAGTCGGTGAAAAAGGTCGACCAATAAATAATTTGTTTACACGAGCTAGATTTGTTTTTTCGACATTGAATGCTTAAGTTTCCTCAGATGATCAAAGGATTACAGATGGTAGGCTCATTTTAAAAAAAAAAAAAAATTAGAAATTATATGAATAACTATCAATTGTTCAATATTTAAGAACATGTTGATCAATAGACATCAAATACAGCAAATCAAACTGCTAGTCAACTTGTGTTAACAGCAGAAGAAAAGAGTGTAAGTACTTTGTAGTTATTCTTTCACTTCGTTTATTTACACCCACGTATCCCAAATAGGTAGATATGTCTGGTTTTGAACACCTTATTTCTAGAGTTCTATTCTATCAACTATACAAATTTGATTTTCTACTGTACTTTATTTCTGTTCTTCTTCTAGTCTCTCTACTCAATTGTGTTAAAAACCATTTGTATTTTTACTCATGTTCACTGTGACCTTCGATCGACATCTCTACTAAGGAAAAAGATTAAGAATTATTACTTTCCGCTTTTATACTGACGGATGATCATAACTTACTTCTCTCTAACATTTATGAACTGTCAAAAAGTACTTTCTATCTATTACTGTTTCCTATTTGTAGAATATCGCTGCTGATGCTGATACTGTGTGGGCAATAATGAAAGATGCTAAAGATAATCGTGTTTTGATGACACATGATGGCTATCTGAAACTTTATCAATTATCAAAGCCAAAGATTTTAACGTTCGATTGCATATTTGTTGATGAAGCACAGGATTTAACACCTGGTAAAAATTATTTGTGACCATACTAAACAATGTTTTATATATTGTTTATGTACCCTTTTTTCTAGCCGTAATTGATATAATTAATAATCAAGGTGTTTCGAAAATATTAGTCGGTGATCGTCATCAACAAATTTATGCATTTCGAGGCGCTGTGGATGCTATGAGTAAAATGGAATCGATCGTAACATTTTATTTAACTAAAGTAAAACAACTTTTCCTATTGCTTTCGATAGTATCTAGTGTGTGTGCTAGTATTCGTTTTATAGTGAATTATTTTGTTTTGCTTTAGAGTTTTCGATTTGGCTATGAAATTGCATTCGTTTCAAATTTAGTATTACAAAAGTTTTGCAATGAAACAAAATATCTTGTTGGAAATGATCGTTCATGTAGGTCATACATAAATATGTTAGTGCATTTTATCATGTAAATATAATTTTAGGTTTTATTGATGGTCGATCTTCATCTCTGACACATGGTCAACAACACCTACCTCAACAAAAAGCCTATTTATTTCGTACAAATTTTGCTCTATTCAATTTTGCTGTTAAATTGATATTTGAAATGAATATATCAAACGTCGGATTTGTTGGCGGTTTTGATAGTTATGCGTTCGATCGAATTTTGAATATTTATTTTTTGTGGTTAGATCCAGAAGAGAGACGACGACGAGCTTATCGAATTAAAGATCCACAATTAGTGAATTTTCAATCGTTTAGATCAGGGGAGTGATCGCAGGCAGCCGGAGTTGGACTACAAGTCTATAGTCATAGACGAGTCCATCTCTGACTATGTACAGAGAGACCAGCGGAAAAATAATAATATAAGTATTCTACCCAGACACGAATGTAGACCCGCTAAACCGCACGAGTAACCGCGTGTGTTTTTATTTTATACGTGGTTCACACCAGTTCATGCGGATATAGGCCGGGTTCTCGCCGGTTGAGCACCGGTAAATCGTCGGTTTTAACCGGTTGTTGATAAAAAAACCGCGGTTCTCCGAGGTTCGCCATTTTCATTTAGAGGCAGGACTAAAAGATGTCACTGCCTAACATCTCCCCTCTTCGGCCAGATGAGCGTTCCATCCGCTCATCGAATGCCAACTAATTATTTCCTTCCTCCCAGCTAGAAACAAGCATTTTACTCTGCCCAAA